TGTTTGCTGCACTGTAGATATCGAGGATTCTTGGTTTTGTTTGAAAACCACTTGAACTTAGTGCAGATGTTAAGTAAGCTTTGATGAGGAATTCTGCTTTTACGAAGAGACCCAGATCATCCCGATTCAGTGTAATTGCATTTGTCAAGCAGCCAAGTGGTTTGGTTAGAAGTGAAGATTACTTTGGCCATTTTAAAATAGTACTTAAAAATCTGAAAACTAACTCGCACTGGAAAAAATCTGTGTGAAGAGTTTTGCAGTAAGGGGCTGGATTTTCTGAGTTACTTCTACTTGTCGCACAGCAAAGGAATGCAGAGCTGTATTGTTTGGCAGGGTTCCTCAGTACGTATTAAAGAGTATGAATCCCTTAGAGATCAAAGTGACCAAAAGCAGCCCAGTGCAAAAGGTTAGAAGAGCTGAAGCTTGAAAGGATTTGTCCTCTTTCCTAATCTTCAGTAGTGTACACAACTCCTAAATTTGCAACCGCAACCCTGAAAGCCCCAAAGAGGAAGTGGTAAAAATGTTACAAGTTTGGGTTAAGTTACTGGAAATTATTTTAAGCAATAACATTAGATAATGTGAAGCGCTATTATTTGATAATGCCTGGAAACCAGCAAGCGAGTGTCCTGGGAGAAATGTGCATAAAGGAGAAATTTCATGTATTAGTAGCTACTATCCCAATAGTAAGCTGTTACTGGTGTTGCAAATCAAAGGCAGTTTGGAGAAGGTTTTATTTTTCCTTCTTGTTTTGTTGTGCTACGGGCAATCAGGTTGAGCAGTTGGAGGAAAGATTATACTTTTAGAAGCACTGTGTCAGCCTGGTGTAGGTGTGCTGGTGGATCGGTTTGGTGATCTTACCTCAGTTATTAAAAACACCAAGATAACGTGGTAGCTGTCCCCTTCACTGACACACCAGAGCCCCTCGGAGCTGAAAGCATCAGCTGTACACCCTGAAGTGAAGAGCAAAACTTAGTAGCTTTGGCTGTAAGGAGGCAAAGTTTCTGCTTTTCTCAGGAAAGGCAAAATTTCTGCTGTTCAGGAAGGCCGGGGACTCGTAACATGCATGCAGAAATACGCCGCGCCTGTACCTCCCTGCACACAAGGCTGCCGTTGTTCGTGGGCGTACGCCTGCGTTAAAAACAAAACCAAAAAAAGAGTTAGAATTTCAGTGTGCCTGATTTCCTAAGAAATCAGACTTCATGTTAGAAACTTCAAGCTGCATATTAGCATTTAAACATTGCTCCACCACAAGCTAGGATCTTGTTCTTACTCCTGCAGTTATTATTTAGACATTTCTTCCTGCTG